TATCTCAGCTGCCTCCAACGAAATCTATTAAAAACCGAACGTTCCTGCATTTGTAGTCGCTGTAGAGTGCTTAGGAAATCTCCTGAGTAAATCGTGTCAGATGTTGCCAAATTTGTTGCATGGTGACTATGCGCGATCGATAACTATGGAAAACTATGAACAATAATTAAAGGTTTTAGAGCAAGCGCCTTCGCTGCAGGAGTCGCGCGGTTTCCCGCTATCTGATGTTTTTGGATTGCGCTCACGATTCTTTACATACTAGATGTGTCCACTATTGTGAAAAAAGGCTCAGCAATGTTGGATCTCAATTGTTTTTCATTATCAAATTTCCTGTCAATGATAACACAGGCTTTATTCGCAGTTACTTTTCACTCTTTTTTTCTTATCTCGAATGCACATTTGTAGTAGACGATTATGGATCCACGAACAGTGTAGTCACATCCAAAGAGAACATTCATGCCGGATCACGCCAACATGCGAAACAATCATACCACTTCGTCGTCTTTTTCGCATACCTGCGCAGCTGAAATGGCTAATATTATAAGCAATGAAGGCAGACGAAAAGAATCAAATGAGTACGAAGGGTAGGGAGTATTTTACAGAATGAAGTTCGATATAGCATGAAGGTAGCATATCTATAAATAACTTTACCCGAACACGGACTTCATTCGCCACTTTTGGGAAGTGGAATTTCAGTTTCTCAATATCGTATCTACCAGCACTGCAAGCTGCTCACTTGAGTTACGAATAGAATCGTTTGAAAGAAATGACGGACATACATTACATTCTCCTGGAAAAGATCAAAACCTTCACGAATATTAAGATTTCTTCCAGCGCCTTTTGCCAGATTGCAATCGAATTTCTGAAATAAAAGTCAATACGTAGACAAAAGCCGCTCTGTTTTTTACTTTTGGCGTGACTCTTTTTGTTGTTTAGCACACTATCGTAATTTTGTACATATTTGTCTCCGAGCAAAGCGCGTTGAGAAGCGCGATAGAAAAATTCAAAATGACAATATTCAGCTTAAGAAAGCATTGCGTGTACCAAATTAGAACACGGTTGTCTTTTTGGCGTTTAGGGAACACTTTTGATAATGTTCTGAGGGAGGCGTTGTATTTCACAATTGCTCTTAATACTACACATCATTTATTTGCTCGAAATATGAATTCCGAGTTGTAGTGTTGAATGGAAATATTTTATACATCATTCCCTTAAAACTGTTAGAAAGAGGCTGTTACGGTGTTTTCTATAATCCAACAAACTAGAAACAAAATTTAGTTGCTAGAATAACTTTGTACCTTTGGACATTCTATTTTCAAGCTACACACCACTGGTCAATATCCTTACCTATCAATTTTTTAATCTAATGACCGTGAAAGCTTTTGCAAAGAACTATCCTTGATGAAAATGACTGTGTTCTGTTAGGAATTACTTAGAGCTTTTCAGTTTTTCTATTTTTCTTCTCAAAATTAATTCGTAAGTCTACAAAGAAATGTTCAGCTGATGTACAGGATTAGTCAGAAAGAATAAGCCCGAAGATGTTACGAAGCGCATAATTTGCTGTTTGAACAGAATTAAAATTCTACAATCAACTTGTTGCCAAGCAACGATTTTCCAAAAATAATGATATAACTTTCGCTAAGAGAACTTTGAAACCAACCAGATGAGTGGGTAGTTCAGGATCCAGATGTACACTGAGGTACTCTCCTAACATGTCGTTAAATACATTCAATTCTACGTTACTTGGTTTAATTTCATCAGACATTTTAACTCTTTTCTTAGTTATATTGCAGCGTCTGAAAGTCTCGAAATCAGCATATGTCCACGCAAATAGTGCCTAAAATCTACTTATGATTTAATAAGGGGAGGAGTAAATATAAAACTTACTAAGAGGCATATGAGGGTGCGCAACATACTTGAATTGCTCTGTGCTTATGAAAGTACTGCACTGCGTTTTTATTTACGGCTTTGTTTCTCCATACTTCTTTGATCAGGCGATCCACATGAGGACATGTAATCGCATTCATCAGTCATCTAAAGTAGTAAGCGTAGAATCAGCACTTTATTTGTACTGAATATTCATGGTCTGAATGCAACAGTATATCACCTCATCCCCGAGTGAGATGCCTTTATCTTCTATCACATACCACTAACAAGAAAAGCCTTCAAATCTTTTATGGCTCCACACTCACAAGGGGAGGCAGTTTGGTCGAAGAGCCCTTTTGAGATAGGGTGTACACCTTTGGAGGGGGGGGGGGGAGGGGCTTGAGGGCGTAAAACACCGATTTTAAATTTGTCTTCCTTGTCTCAGGAAATTTTTGCACGACTAGTTGTGGACGTTTACTGGCGCAAGAAATTGAATGCTCGTATGAGATAAATCCGGCTGTTAAAAGTTTTTTAACGCTCAAATGATGCAGCGATATGCAAATATATTTTTTGCGCAAAGTGTTCAAGTAAGTACCGCTCCATTGAATCGGATGTCAGCAAGTACCACAAGTTCTCGGTCACAGGAGCAGTCTATAGTCGCATGAAGCTTTCGGAAACGATGATGGCTATGTTTGAGTCGGTAAGGCTTTGTTAAGAAAATCTCATAAATCAATTACTTTACCCAATAGGTTTGAGTCTGAGCTTACGAGCCTGCATAATGTCCAGCTGAGGAAGAACGCGAGGGATCAAAAGGAAAATTGCATTTGTAGCCTTTGATTTAACTGGTGGCGGCTGCAAGGAGGGGCTTCGTGACCTAATTAAGTCTAAGTAGCGATCAGGGGCCGGGCGCGAGCGGCATTGATTAGATCACAAATATCCCCGCTTTCCAGCCGCCAAGCCGATGGAAGCAAAGCTTAGAAAAGAGATTGCCGATATGGCTCTGGGATTCACTTGGAAAAGTACTAAACCTAAAAAAACATTCATCTAACGCCAAGATGATCGCACTGCAACTCCTTAACAGGTTTAGATCAAATTGCCAAAATAGCGTTCATTTGCACATTTTCAGTTTTAAATCGTGAGATGTACTTTACTAGTGCAGGTCCTTGTAATCTAAGTTTCAGAGGTGATTCGCTCATATTTAAAGTATTATTTTTTCAGTATCTGATCGGCATGACTTGACTCTCGATGAACTCGGCAGCGTATCATTGGCATTTTTCTAGTCTTACGTTGTTCCTCTACTGCACATTTCTGCTCTACTGGCGTTTTGCTCTCGCCTCCGTTTTTTCCATTTTTGCTCTTCAGTGTATTCGAGTTTGTAAAGGTCTTTTCTGTGCACTTCCTGTGTATATGAAGGTTTTTTTTTGAAATCTTGCTGTTTCTTTTGTGACATCGCCGCCATCGCCGTTTTGTTACAATTTCTGATGAGTTCATAGCGCTAATTTCAGCATCGCTGAAGGGAGAACAAGCAGAAAGAAAAAAAAACGTGAGGATTTTGCAGGCACCACACCAGCAAAATTCACTCTCTAGAGTGATTCAGAGGAGTGTCCAACATGGAAAAAGCTGTAATCATTTACAGAATGCGACAAGAAAGCTTTAACATCGCAGCATGTGAGTTAGGCGAAGAATTCGAAATTTATCACAGAAGAAAAATGATATCCGTAGTGAACCCCGTGAATGCTTATATAGAAGCTAAATTCTACGAAGTAAAGCTTTCAAAGCTTACTAGGAGTTTAGTTTCACAAGTAATTGCTCTCCGCCACATTTCAAAGATAGGCGTCCCGAATCTCACTAAGAGAATTGCAGATTTGCAGATATTTTGGTATTTTTCCGTTATCTGGACCCGTGGCAAAACTTGAAAAAATTGTTTCTCTCCTTGTACCAATTTTGGTTAAAAAAAGTTCATAGGATAAAGACTCAACCCTCTGCCACGTGTTAAGAAAATTAACATGTCATGTACATGTTTGATGGTTTCACTAAGAATTTGCTTAACCTACCGATTTGCTCTATACTGCTCTCTATACTGCTGGCTCCATGTTGAAACTTCCAAGATGAAGCCAACAAATTACCTAAAGATTGATTCGACGGAAGTCATTGGAGATGCGACATCCTGTATGTAGTTGAGCTATCAAATTGGGTTCTGAATCAAAATAATAATTTGCTAGAAAGCTTAACGTGATGATAAAGTAATGACACACGTGCTTAGCACATTAAAAAATTCAATAACGGCAGAATGTTCTAGAAAGAAACTTATGGGCATTTCTATCATCAAAATTTTTATGGTTTTTAGTGACTACAAATATTGGAAAATGCTTGCTAAAATTGCTTATTGCACTCTAAGATAGCATTTAAAAAGGTTCGGCATCAGATTAAGCATGAATAAGCTATTTCCCGTGAGTTTCAGTCCAAAATGCTTAGGTGTTGGTAATTCTGGTTACTCTCAGCTTTACAAATTTCCCGCAAACAAAAGTCCACAACACCCTTACTAGAAGCGTCCTGCAGATACGGTTAGATTTGAAATCAGCTTTTTAGGTTCTTTGTGATGATATTCATTTGGTAGTGGTCAGCCATTTCGACTTCGCAATCTTACTCTGTCTCAGCAGTAGCTTCTTCGACATGGTCTATAAAGTTTTCTAGGCCTTCCTTTTACAATGAACACAGCTCTGGGCTTCAAAGTGCGTGAATCGTCGAAAGTCAAATCAACATATCAAACGCTGATTCATCTCAACTGCTTCCAACATAATGTATCGAAAACCGAACGTTCGTGTTTTTGTGTAGCTGTATGCTAAAGAAATCTTCTGCGTAAATCATGTCAGATGTTGCCAAAATTGTTCTATGGTTCTTAACCATGCGCGATCGATAGCTATAGAAAAAACAGTGAACCAGTAATTAAAGGTGTTAAAACAAGCGCGTTCGCTGCGGGAGCCGCGCGGTTTCCCGGTATCTGATGTTTTTTGAATGATGCTTACGATTCTTTATGTATTAGGTGTGTCCACTATTGTGGAATAAGGCTCAGCAATGTTGAATTTCAGGTGCTTTTCATTATCAAATCTTCTGTCATAGTAGTAACATAGGCTTTATTCGCACTTTTCAGTAGCTTTTTTTCTATTTTCGAATGCACATTTGTAGACGATCTTGGATCCATGAATAGTGTAATCACATCCAAAGAGAAAGGTCAATGCCCGATCACGAAAACAACTTGTGAAACAATCACACCACTTCTTCTTCCTCGTATATCTGATCAGCTGAAACCTAGTATTTCAAGCAAGGAAATAACTCTTTACGCTACAAGAACACAAAAAAGCTTATTCAAACAAATTATTTGGCCAGTTTTTTTTTTACCAAACTCGTGGTAAAGGCATTCTTTAATCTACATAATTTTCCTTGACTCAAAACATTTGATCTGCATCAACTAATCACTAACACAATGACGACAGTGTGACCCACATGATGGGTCATGGCTTGAATTTTGTTAAAATGAGTACAACCTTGAAATATCAGCTTGGGCCGAAAGTTCGTTCGCACTATTTTCAAAAATTATAACTTCTGGTTTTTTCAACCGATTTGCGTGTTCTCATTTTTCTCTGAAAGCAAGTCATTCTCTTTATAGCGGTATTTTAGTAACGTTCTACTGGGCCTACACTGCGCAGATAGAGGCGGTAGAAAAAATTACTCAAATTTTGCATTTTCTGTGTAGGGTCATAAAAAATCTGAAACTTACAATAAAATTCGGAGCAGTCAGTATTATAGGTTCTTTCACCAGCTCTTTCTAACAGTGCAAAGTTTGTGCCGACTGAGTCGTTATGAAAAGTAATGATTTTCCTGAAAAATGCCAAAATAAATCAAATTCACCTTTTGTATTGCTTGCTCGAAAATCATAACTTTTCATAGAGACCCTCAATCAGCACAAACTTTGCACAGTTAGGAATAGCTGGTGAAAAAACCTATAATACTGACTGCTCCGATTTTTGCTATAAGTTTCAGATTTTTTATGACCCTAAACAGAAAATGCAAATTTTGAGTAATTTTTTCTACCGCCTCTATCTGTGCAGTGTATGCCAAGTAGAATGTCTCTCTAATATTGCTATGAAGAAAATGACTTGCTCTTTCAGATAAAAACGAAAATAAGCAAATCGTTAAAAAAACAAGAAGTCATGAATTTTTTGATAACGAATTTTCGGTCCAACCTAATACATTCGCTTTACGGGCTCTCTTACTCATTCAGCCTAGAGATTATTTTCGCGTTTCTTGGTAATTTCTGAGGATTGCTGCACTTATAATGTAGATTCCGATTTGCTTGCTTATATGGAAAAAAATTCCGACTTAGTCGTGAAAGGCATTGTCCAAAAGGCAGACAACTAAAAATGCGCGTTGCCGTCAACGTACTAATTTTATTGATATGGCTTTCAAACTTCTTTTCAAATCGAGAATCGAATAACTGGGAGAAAATGCACTTTAATTAATCAGTATAATATAATGCTGGTGTTGAAAAGTGGGGCTTCAAATGTAGAATGGTTGCCCTCATACCCGACCCTTGTCATATGCAAGTTTTTTAGTTCGGCTCAAGTTCTCGATGCCGTAACGAATCAACTGGGTAAGAAGAATAAAGACCGTTTACAAGTTAAGTTCGATGTAGCCTAAACGTAGAATATTTATAAACAATTTTACCTTTTTAAGGACTTTCCTCTCCATTTTCATAAATCGGGGTTTGAGGTTTTCGATGTTGTACTCACCAACACTGTAAGTTACTCACTTGAACTATGAATAGAATTGTTTGCAAAAAATGAAGGACATACCTTACATGTTTTTGCATAATTTTAAGATTGAAACCTTTACGAATTTTGAGATTTCTTCCAGCGCCTCTTGCCAGATCGCAATCGAATTTCTGAAAAAAGTTAACATGTAGACAAAAATCCGCTCTAATTTTTATTTTTGGTGTGACTCTATTTGTTTTTTTTTGGACACTAACGTATTTTGTACATGTTTATTCCCGAGAAGAAGGCGTTGAGAAGCGTGATTAAAGAATTTGAAAATTACAAAAACTATCAGTTTTCCAAAAAGCATCGAATACCAAATTAGAATAGGGTTTTCTTTTTGACGTTTAGAAAACACTTTTGATAAGGTTCTGAGCGAGGGGTCAAATTTCCATTGTTCTCAATACTACATATAATTTATTCTCTAAATATGGGTTCTTTTAAGTGGAAATATATTATATGTCATTCCCTTACCACTTTCAGAAATAGACTGTTACGGTAATGCTTTGGTGCAGTGTTAAGAAAAGTTCTTCTATCAGCCAACAAACTAGAGACGAAATTCAGTTGCGAGAACAACTTTGTACTTTTTGGAAATTTCATTTTAAGCTATACATCACTGATCAATACCCATACCTATCATTTTTGAATCTAATGACTGTAAAAGCTCTTACAAGAACTATTCTTGACGAAAATGGCTAGTCCTGTTAACGATTATCTAGATTTTATCAATTTCTTATTTTCAGTCTTCTCAGAATTGATTGATAAATCTATGAAGAAATGTTCAGCTGATGTACAGGATCCATCAGAAAGATTAAGCCCTAGTTACAAAGCGCATAATATGCTCTTTGAACAGAATCAAAATTTTACAATCGACATGTTGCCAAGCAACGATATTTCAAAAATAATGATATAACTTTTGCTAACAAAACTTTGAAACCAACCAGATGAGTGGGTCGATCAAGAGAATCCAGTTGTTCACTGAGGTAGACTCCTAACATTGTGTTGAAAGCATTCAATTCTGTGCCATTTGGTTTAAATTCATCGAACAATCTAAGTCTTTTTTTAGTTGTATTGCAGGTTCTCAAAGTCTTAAAATCAGCATATGTCCACGCAAAAAGTGCCTAAAATCTACTTATGATTTAATAAGGGTAGAGTTAGATATAAAACTTACCAAAAGGCATATGAAGATGCGCAACATACTTTTGAGTTGCTTTATGTGCTTGTGAAGGTATGCACTACGCTTTTATTTACGACTTTGTTTGACCATACTTCTTTGATCAGGCGATCCATATAGGGGCATGTAATGACACACATGTCATATTCATCAGTCATAAGTAGTAAATGCGTGGAAGATAGCACTTTATTTGCACTAAATATTCATGGTCTGAATGCAACAGTATATCACCTGTTCTCTGAGTGGGATTTCAGCCTTTATCTTCTTTTACACACTACTAACAAGAAAAGCCTTCAAAGCTTTTATTGCTCCATACTCACAAGGGACGGCTGTTTGGTCGAAGAGGCCTTTTGAGATGAGATGCACACCATTTTGGGGATCGTAAAACGCCGATTTTCAATCTGTCTTCCTTATCTCAGAAGCAGTAGTTGTGGACTTTAATTGGCTTCCATAAGTACTGAAAAACGAATGGTGCTTATCTAAGATAAATTCGGCTGTTAAAAGTTTCCTAACGCTGAAATGATGCAGCGATATGCAAGAACCTTTTCTTTACAAAGTATTTTCAAGTAATTATCGCTGCTCCATTTAGTCGCATGAAGCCTTAAGAAATGGTGGAGACCCTGTTTGAGTCAGTGAGGCCTTGTTGAGATAGAAAATTAGTCTACCAAATAGGTTTGAGTCTGAAGCTTGCGAGCCCGCATGATGAATTGAGGAAGAACGCGAGGGATCATAAGGGAAAGTGCATTTATACCCTTCAGTTAAACTGGTTGCGGCTGGAAGGCGGGCTTCGTGACCTAATTGGGTTTAGGTAGTGATCAGAGGGCACGGGAGAGGAAGAGACGCAGACTGCGCCGCGGGCACGAGCAGCCTTCCTTAATCAGGTCATAAACCCCGCCTTCCAGCCGCCATCCTGCATGCAGGATGAGCTTTGAAAATAGGTTTCAAATCAAAATAATAGTTTGTTAAAAAGATTAACGTGATAATGAGTGGTGACACATGTGCTTGGCACATTAAAACATTCAATGACGGCAGAATGTTCTAGAAAGAAACTTATGGGCGTTTTTATCATCAAAATTTTCATGGTTTTTAATGACTACAAATATTGCGAAATGCTTGCTAAAATTGCTTGTTGCGCTCTAAGATAGCATTCAGAAAGGTTCTGCATCAGATTAAGCATGAATAAGCTATTTTCCGTGGGTTTCAGTCCAAAATGCTTTGGTGTTGGTAATTCTGGTCACTCTCAGCCTTACAAATTTCCCACAAACAAAAATCCATAACACCCTTACTAGAAGCGTCCTGCAGGTGTGGATGGATTTAAAATCAGCTTTTCAAGTTCTTTGTGTTGATATTCACTTTGTAGTGGTCAGCCATTTCGACTTTGCCACCCTACTCTGTCAGCAGCAGCTTCTTGGCAGAAGTTCGACTTCGGATGGTCTATGAAGTTTTCTAGGTCTTCCTTTTATACTGAACATAGTCCTGGACTTCAAAGTACGTGAATTCGTTGAACGAATCATCATATCAAACTCTGAGTTATCTCAGCTGCTTGCAACATAATGTATCGAAAACCAAACGTTCCTGTTTTTGTAGTAGCTGCATGCTAAGAAATCTTCTTCGTAAATCGTGTGTTGCCAAATTTGTTCCATAGTTCTTAACCATGAGTGGTCGATAACTATAGAAAAACTAGTAAGTCAGTGAGTAAAGGGTTAGAGCAAGCGCTTCGCTGCAGGAGCCGCGCGGTTTCCCGCTATCTGATGTTTTTTGAATTGCGCTTACGATTCTTTGTATATTAGATGTGTCCATTATTGTGGAAAAAAGGCTCAGCAATGTTGAATTTCAAATGCTTTTTATTATCAAATTTTCTGTCATAGTGATAATATAGGCTTTATTCATAGTTACTTTTCAGTAGCTTTTTTCTTATCTCGAATGCACATTTGTAGTAGACGATTACGGATCTACGAACAGTGTAATCACATCCAAAGTGAACAGTCAGTGCCCGATCTCGCCAACAGTCTGTGAAACAATCATACCACTTTTTCTTTTTCGCATATTTGAGCAGCTGAAATTGCTAATATTTTACGCAATAAAGGGAGACGCATAGAATCAAATGAGTATGAAGGGTAGAGACAGTTTTACAAAATGAAGTTCGATATAGCCTGAACGTAGCATATCTATAAGTAGCTTTACCTGAGCCCGGACTTCATTCGCCACTTTTATAAAGTGGGGTTTGAGGTTTTCGATTTTGTATTTACCAAAACTGCAAGCTGCTCACTTAAAATATGAATAGAATCGTTTGAAAAAAATGACTGACATACATTATATGATTCTGCATAAGGTCAAAACCACGAATATTTAGATTTCTTCCAGCGCCTCTTGCCAGATTGCAATCGAATTTCTGAAATAAAAGTCAATACGTAGACAAAAATCCGCTCTGTTTTTTACTTTTGGTGTGACTCGTTTTCTTTTTTAGCACCTTTCGTAATTTTGTACATATTTGTCTCCGAGCAGAACGCGTTGAAAAGCGTGATAAAAGAAATCAAAATGACAAGTAATTTTCAGCTCTCAAACTTTGACTACCAAATTAGAATACGTTGTCTTTTTGGCGTTCAAAAAACACTATTGATAATGGTTTCAGCGAGGCATTAAATCTTTCAAAATTGCTCTCAATACTACACATTTATTCGCTCGAAATATGGATTCCGAGCAATGCTGTTGAATGGAAATATACTATACATCATTTCCTTGCCACTGCTAGAAAGAGAGGGTTACTGTAATCCTTTGACAGTGTTAAGAAAAGCGCTTTTACTAGCCAACAAATTAAAGACGACAGTTGCTAGATTGACTTTGTTTTTTCAAATCCAATGACCGTTAAAGCTTCACAAAGGACTGTCCTTGATGAAAATGGCTATGTTCTGTTGGTTAGGGATTATCTAAGGCATTTCATTTTCTTCATTTTCACTCTTCTCAAAATTAACATAAATCTAGAAAGAAATGTTCAGCTGATGTACAGGATTAATCAAAAATAATAAGCCCTGAAATTTTACAAAGCGCGCAATTTGCTTTTTTGAGCAGAATAAAAATTGTGCAATTGACATGTTTCCAAGCTACGATTTTCCAAAAATAGTGCTATAACTTTTGCGAACTGAACTTTGAAACCAACTAGATGAGTGGATAGATCAAAGAAATCCAGATGATCCCTGAGGTAGACTCCTAACATTTCGTTAAAAGCATTCAATTCTGTGCCATTTGGTTCAATTTCATCAGACGATCTAAGTCTTTCCTTAGTTGTATTGCAGCGTCTCAAAGTCTCGAAATCAGCATATGTCCACGCAAATAATGCCTAAAATCTACTTATGATTTAATAAGGGTAGAGTTAGATATAAAACTCACTAAGAGGCATATGAGGATGCGCAACATACTTTTGTGCTCTCTATGTGCTTTCGAAGGTATTGCACTGCGTTTTAATTTACACTTTGTTTGACCATACTTCTTTGATCAGGCGATCCATATAGGGACATGTAATGACACACATGACATATTCATCGGTCATCTAAAGTAGTAAATGCGTGGAAGATAGCACTTTATTTGCACTAAATATTCATGATCTGAATGCAACAGTATATCAGCTCTTCTCTGAGTGAGATTTCAGCCTTCATCTTCTTTTACACACTGCTAACAAGAAGAGCCTTCAAAGCTTTTATGGCTTCGTGCTAACAAGGGAAGGCTGTTTAATCGAAACGGCCTTTTGAAATGGGATGTACACCATTTTGGGGGTCGTAAAAACGCCGTTCAATCTATCTTCATTATCTCAGGAGCAGTAGTTGTGGTGATGCTAATGATCATCTGTTGCATAGATAGGAGCGATAGAAGAAAATTAGTCAAAATTTTAATTTTCTGTGTAGGATCATAAAAAATCGGAAACTTGCAGCAAAAATCGGAGCAGTCAGTATTGTAGGTTTTTTCACAAGCTCTTTCCAACAGTGCAAAGTTCGCGCCGATTGAGTGTCTCTATGAGAAGTTACAATTTCCCTGAAAAATGCCAAAATGAATCAAGTTCGCCTTTTTGTATTGCTTGCTTGAAAATCGTAACTTTTCATAGAGACACTCAATCGGCGCAAAGTTTGCACTGTTAGAAAGAGCTGGTAAACGAACCTACAGTACCGACTGCTCCGATTTTTGTTGCAAGTTTCCGATTTTTTATTACCCCACACATTAAATTCGAATTTTGACTAATTTTGTTCTATCGCTCCTAAATATACAAAAGATGATCATTATTAGCAACTAAGATGTCATTATAAAGAGCATGACTTACTCTTTCACATAAAAATAAGAACAGTTAAATCGGTTGGGAAAATCAGAAGGACAGAACTTTCGGGCCAACCTAATATTAAAAAAAGGAAGCTCATTTAAGATAAATTCGGCTGTTAAAAGTTTCCTAAAGCTGAAATGATACAGCCATACGCAAGAACATTTTTTGTACAAAGTAACCAAGTAATTATCGCTGCTCCATTGAATCGGATGCCAATAAGTACCACAACTTCTTGCTCATAGGAGCAGTCTATAGGCGCATGAAGCCTTTGGAAATGATGGAGGCCCTGTTTGAGTCAGTGAGGCCTTGTTGAGAGAATAAATTAGTTTACCAAATAGGTTTGAGTATGAAGCTTGCGAGCCTGCATGTTGAATTGAAGAAGAACGCGAGTGATCATAAGGGAAATGCATTTGTACCCTTTGATTATACTGGTGTTGGCTGGAAGGCAGGGTTCGTGACCTAATTGAGTCTAAGTAGTGATCAGAGGGCACGGGCGCGGAAGAGATGCAGATTGCGCCGCGGGCACGAGCGGCCTTCCTTAATCAGATCATAAAGCCTCCCTTCCAGCCGCCAAGCCAATTAAATCAATGATTAAAAAAGTGTTGGTGGTCAGTGGCATATATACTTTAGTGACATCCTGTATGCAGGATGAGCCATAAAAAATGGGTTTCAAATCAAAGTAATAATTTGCTAAAAAGATCAACGTGATAATGAGTGATGACACATGTGCTTGGCACATTAAAGCATTCAATATCGGCAGAATGCTCTAGAAAGAAACTTATGGGCGTTTTTATCATCAAAATTTTCATGGTTTTAAGTAACTACAAATGTTGAAAAATTCTTGCTAAAATTGCTTGTTGCGCTCTAAGATAGCATTCAAAAAGTTCGGCATCAGACTAAGCATGCATAAGATATTTTCCGTGATTTTGAGTCCAAAATGCTTAGGTGTTGATAATTCGGACTACTCTCAGCCTTACAAATTTCCTGCAAACAAAAGTCCATGACATTCTTACTAAAAGCGCCCAGTAGATATGGGCAAATTTAAAATCAGCTTTTCAAGTCTTTGTGATGATACTCATCTGGTAGTGCTCAGCCATTTCGACTTCGCAACCCTACCTTGGCAGAAGTTCGACTTCGGATGGTCTATGAAAGTCTTCTAGGTCTTCCTTTTACACAGAACACAGTCCTGTACTTCAGAGTACGTGAATTCGCTGAAAATCGAACCATCATATCAAACACTGAGTTATCTCAGCTGCTTCCAACATAATTATCGAAAGCCGAACGTTCCTGTTTTTGTAGTAGCTGTATGCTAAAGAAATCTTCTGCGTAAATCGTGTCAAATGTTACCAAATTTGTTCCATAGTTCTTAACCGTGCGCGATCGATAACTATGGAAAAACTAGTGAACCAGTAATCAAAGGTGCTAGAGCAAGCGCGTTCGTTGCGGGAGCAGTGCTTTTTCCCGCTTTGTGATGTTTTTTCGAATTGCGCTTACGATTCTTTATATGTTAGATGTGTCCACTATGGTGGGAAAAAGGCTTAGCAATGTTGAATCTCAAATGTTTTTCATTATCAAATTTTCTGCCATAGAGATAACACAGACTTTATTCGTATTTACTGTTCGGTAGCTTCTTTCTTTTTTCGAATGCACACTTGAAGACGACCTCGGACCCTCCACGAATAATGTAATCACATCCAAATAGAACAGTCACTGCCCGATCACGAAAACAGCTTGTGAAACAGTCATACCACCTCTTCTTTCTCGTATACTTGAGCAGCTAAAATGGCTAATATTTTAAGCAATGAAATAATTCCTTACGCTACAGGAACACAAAAAAATTCATGCAAATTATTTGGCTAATTTATCCCACCAAAACTTGTAGTAAAGATTTTTTAGTCTATATTTTTCCTTAATTTCAAACATTTGATCTACATCAACTGTTCACTACTACATTGACGACAGCGTGAGCACATGGTGGATCATGGCTTGAATTTTGTTAAGATGACTACAACGTTGGAGTACGTTCGCTTCACAAGCTTTCTTATCAAACTCGTTGAGCCTTGAGATTACTTTCTCGTTTCTTGGTTGCTTCTTAGGATTGCTGCAAGTATAATGTAAATGCCGTCTGCATGTCTTTGGGAAGAAAAATCCAGACTCATCGAGAAAGACATTATCCTAAAAGGCAGACAACTAGTAATGCGCGTTGTCGTCACGTGCTAACTTTATTGATATGGCTTTCAAACTCCCCCTTTTTAAATCTAAAATCGATTAATTGGGAAAAAGAAAAATGTGCTCTAATCAAAGAGTACAACGCTGATGTCAAAAAGTGGGGCTTCAAATGTAGAACGGTCGCCCTCGTACCCGACCTTGGTCATAGTTTTATAGTTTGATTCCGGCTCAAGTTTTCGCTGTCGTAATTTTATCTGTCATTTTCTACCCGTCTGGGATCAGTAGACTTTTATTCTCAGTGCTATTTATAGAAGGCAGAATTCCCGCTGCTTACAACAGAGGGCAGACGCATAGAATCAAATGAGTAGGAAGTACAGAGTCTGTTTTACAAGTCAAGTTCGATATAGCCTAAACGTAGAATATCTACAAACAACTTTACCTTAGTAAGGACTTCATTCGCTATTTTTATAAAGTGGTTCCGTTCGAAATCTTCGAGATGAGATGAAATGTTGTACTTACCAGCACTGCAAACTGCTCACTAGAATTATGAATAAAATTGTTTGAGAAAAATGATGGACGTACATTGTATGAGTCTGTACAAGATCAAAACTTGGAACAATATTCAGATATCTCTTGCTTCCTGCCAGAATGCAATCGAAATGCTGAAATAATACGTAGACAAAAATCCGCTCTATTTTTTACTTTTAATGTGACTCGTTTTGTTTTTTTAGCACGCTATCGTAATTTTATACATATTTGTCCCCGAGCAGAACGCGTTGAGAAGCGTGATAAGATAATTCAAAAAGACAAGAAATTTTCAGCTTTCATTGTAAGCATTATGTACCAAACTAGAATACGATTAACCTTTTGGCGTTTAGAAAACACTTTTGATAATGTTTGAGGCGAGGCGTTAAATTTTCATAATTGCTTCCAGTACTACAAATCACTGCTCGAAATTGGATTCAGAGTTGTTCTGTTGAGTAGTAATATATTATATATCATTCCCTTACCATTGATAGAAAGAGACTGTTACGGTAATGCTTTGGCACAGTGTTAAGAAAAGTGTCTTTTATTAGCCAACACACTAGAGACGAAATTCAGTCGCTAGAATAACTTTGTATTCTTTGGAAACTTTATTTTAAGCTATACATCACTAGTCAATACCCATACCTATTTTTTAAATCTATTAACTGTAAAAGCTTTTACTAAGAACTATCCTTGATGAAAATGGCTATGTTTTGTGAAGCATTACCTAGAGCTTTTCAATTTGTCATTTTCATTCTTCTAAAAATTAGTTCATTTAGAAGAAATGTTCAGCTGATGTACAGGATCAATCAGAAGGAATAAGCCCCAGGATGTTACGACGCGCATAATTTGCTCTTTGAACAGCATCAATATTCTAGAATATTAATGCTGTTCAAAGAGTTGCTTGTTGCCAAGCTACGCTTTTCCAAAAATAGTGCTATAACTTTTGCTAACAGAACTTTGTGACCAGCGAAACCAACCAGATGGGTGGGTAGATCAAAGAAATCCAGGTGTTTACTGAGGTAGACTCCTAACGCTTCGTTGAAAGCATTTAGTTCTGTGCCATTTGGTTTAAAATCATCAGCCCATCTAAGTCTTTTCTTAGTTGTGTTGCAGCTTCTCCAAGTGTCGAAATCAGCATATGTCCACGCAAACAATGCCTAAAATCTACTTATAATGTAATAAGGGGAGAAATATAAAACTTACTAAGAGGCATATGATGATGCGCAACATACTCGTGAGTTGCTCTATGTGCTTGTGAAGGTACTGCACTTTGCTTTTATTTACGACTTTGTTTGACCATACTTCTTTGATCAGGCGGTCCATATGAGGGCATGTAATCACATTCATCCATCTAAAGTAGTAATTGCGTGGAAGAAAGCACTTTAGTTTGTACTAAAATATTAATGGTTTGAATGCAGAGTGTGTATCACTTCTTCCCTATGTAGTGAAAATTCAACCTTCATCTATTTTACATACTATCAACAAGAAAAGCCTGTGAAGCTTTTATGGTTTTATGGCTCCATGCTCACAAGGGAGGCTGTTTGTTTGGAGTGACTTTTTGAGATGGGATTACACCCTTTTGGGGGGTGTAAAACGCCGATTTTCTATTTTCCACTTCAGTCGTATAGCAGTCCAGAGATCCTTATCAGTAGAACAACTGTCGTGAGGAGTAGTGTTAGACTGGCTGGCGGGACGGCGAATGCTAAGTCGAGATGTCTGCAATGGTCACGTTGGAGATTCCTATTTTTTGTAGGTTAGATCTTTATCCTATCTTTCGAGGAATAGAACTTGACCATGTAGCTATCACTATAAGAAAACCTTGGAAATGTTGTACCGTAAATGTTCTTGATAAAATATTTGCAATATATTGTCTGACTTGAACTCTGCATTATTATCTATAGAATAGGTTTCATAAGGTATAGTTACAGTATACCTCAGCTGTCACGACTGACCATCCCGATCCCAAAGATGAAAACGAAGTGCCAATATAGCGTTTGAAGGTAGAAAAGGAAAGGGAAAGAGAAAGAGAATATACAAAGAAAAGACAGAACCTATAAATGTTTTTTCGCATACTGGTTTCGGGGCTAAGAACTAGACCAGATATGCGACCTTCCTTGGTGCCCCCGTGTCGAAACACTTTCATCAGTAGTTTCCAAGGAAGTGTCCAAAACATAACTTATGTGAAGGCATGAGGGATATGATGAAACGCAGTAAAGAGATATTGAAGTGAACATGTCTTACTGTTATCAGATGTACTTTCAAAGAAGAATTCTATTTGAATGAATTGTTTCCCACCATTATAATCTTAGTTGGTAATGGGCCACGCATTCCGCACCTCATGCACAAGAGGCAAATGCACACTAGTACTAAATCCATATTTACGTAAAATAAAAGGTCTATTTTGAAAGATAAGATATAATGCTCTAATAAAATTATTTCTTTCCCAGCCATTTCTTGCTGAAGTCATTCCTATTTCAAAAATTCTCTTTTTGAAATCCAAAAAATCAGAGCAGTTTCTATAGATTCTAACTATTTCGAATGCAAGTGTATTGAATATGATAGATCTTGGTATATTGGACATCCAGTTTGGATATCTAATAACGTTGAAGTTGTAATTATCGGTTTTATTAAACATAGAAAACTTAATGCTACTTTCTCTAAGGGAAATAGTAAGATCCAAAAAATTCGTTTGTGAGTCTTTGCAAGCTGTTGGTTCGATTTCTAAAGAAGGATGATATATTTCTTTGAGTTTATTCGTAAACAAAGATACGTCGTAGGACATATGTAGTATGTCATCGATGTACCTAAATGTTTAGTTATATACGTATACGTTACTGTTTCTATCCGTCATTTGTTTTCTGATAAAAGAATATTCCATGTATGTTAAAGTAAGATCTGCTATTTGTGGACTACAGGACTCCCCTTGTGGTATTCCCCTAACTTGCTTGTACACCTTCCCTGCAAAATATACATAGCTAATTCCAATAATACACTAACATGTATAAGTTGCAGTTGCTGTTGCAACATCTGTTGCATTTGTTTTGGGTGTACGCTGCCTTTAACGTTGGTTCTTAGCTTAATGACGTTACAGTGATTACGAAAATGTTTACGAAAGTGAGATAGTATTATCTGTAGGATATTTGTCAATGGTTTCAAAGTACTTCTTTTGGCTCCAGTTATAAATCTAAACTTGATAGGATCTTTATGCATTTTAGGAATTCCACATATCCTTGGTATCTCTATGTAATCATCTCTGTTTTTAATGCCCAACCCGTTCAATTTGTTACATTGTATCCTCTTTACTTCTTCTAAATCAAATGGCGTTTGTACGTACGTATTTTCACCCGCTCCTATTCTTTCCATTTCTTGTTTTAGCATATGCATGTAAAGTTTCTTACATATTACACAAAAATTAGAACTGGCTTTTACAGGGGTAATAACAAAGTGTTTATGAATAGAAGATAAGCCACTATAGTTATAGTCATCTCCTTCTATTAGTTTATTATTGTATAATGGAAATAATTTCGGTTTGAGGCGCTTTTTAACATATCTTCCGACCTCTAACAAGAGAGTGTTAGCGGTCGTAGTATTAACTTTTGTTAGATTGACTATTTTCGCAACTATATTACGTACTAACTCATCTACTACTAAATTAACGTCATTTTTTAGAATTCTTTAATGAAGTCTATACTTAGTACCTTTTCTAAGTAATTTTTTGAGCTTGGTATCTTCTATTATGTCAAGATTACCCGTACATATGTGCTTCAGATTACTATCAATAAATGCTGTGTACCTGTCACACACGCATGGATTATTTTCTAGGTCTTACGCTGTTAGTATCTAATTTTTTCAAAAAGCTATCATAATTGCATATTTGTACTCCTATAGGTTTATCCAATTTATACCTAATAGCAAACTGGGTTTTATCAACTACATCTGCTCGTTGTGTATTTTGGACTAGGATTCGTTTGACCGCGTTACAATTGTAAATTCAAGGAAGATTCAGTTTTTCTATAATCTCACCTAGATAAGGTATAGTAGTGGCCAGCTGTATACCATTATTTCTTTCATTAATGTCTCTATTCCAAAAAGGATGCGCTAGAAGGGCTAGTATTTTGTACTCAGCTGTCACGACTAACCATCCCGATTCCAATTCCATCGAAAAAAGATCTCGAATAGGTTATAAGATTTAGAATTGGAAAATCTCAACTTATATAGCTCAAGCATCTTTTGGCTATTGAAGGGATAGTAAAAGTCGCAGAAAACGAAGAAGAAGCAGAAACTTGCAAATTCATCAATTTTCAAATTTGTTTTTTTTTACATGATGATGCTCTCTTATTGAAGCCGCAGGCATACTCACTGAGCATCATCAGACAGCGAAAGTTTCGAAGATTATTCTATAATCAAAAAGGTTTCGAAGACTTCAAAGCTTGAATAGTTTTTTGAGCAAAGGAATAAAGCTCTTGAACTTGCTCTCGTACAACCATATAAACCCAGTTTCAAATTGTAAAAGTTTCACAAATGCCGCGGGTGATGAAGAGTACTCGATAGATGGGCTCTGTTAGCTCTTGTTCTATCACCTACAACGTTAGACTCATTGATTGCCCCTATTTACGAAGTGTTGTTTCCTGTAGAAAATCTATATGAAACACGAGTGTTCAACAACAAGTCCTACAAGCAGGACAGTTTCCATAGAGACGTGAGTTACAGCACATTTCACCCCAAATTCTTATTCTGTCGCCAGCAAAACGATCTGAGTTGGGCATTATGGAGAATTTACTACGAGAATAATTTTTCAGGGGTGACCATATTTCGGCCAGAGATCATAGATTTGCTATCTCCTTATCGTTAGATTGAGTTTTCTTAAAGTTTGACAAGCATCGGAACGATCAAATTGTCTTTTAACATTCCAGATATAGTCGCACTATACTCAGGGCCCGGCGGGGGTGGCGCTTTCACAACCTGGATATCGTTTTTGGCCCGAAAAAGCAAAGGGGAAGTCGTATTTTGGGGTCCGGGGCGGAGCCCAAAATACGACTTCCCTTTGTTTACCGATAAACAATGCACATATCATTCTTTATTCATCATTCCTTGTTGATGCTACTGTCCTATGAACTTAGATTCCAGCAATGTGAAGATTCTGTGCTCCGATCGCTAGCCTGCCCGCAGGCGGGAATTCAAATCGCAATTCCTGTAAGAAGAAAATAACAAAATAGGCTCGTTTTCAATGCACAAGTAACGATATGGCACCAAATTTGCTGTGTAGTTGGAGGACCATGAGCACAAAAAAAGTATGAAGAATTATGAGAAACTTGAGTGAATTCAAAAAATGGTAAGTGTTTTTCGAAATTAGGTGGCTCCCGCGCCACCTGGGAGCCACCTGGGGTGGCTCCCTGCTTCCCTTCACATAATTTCTTGGATTTCTTTACATAAATGTGGACTAGGTCGAGAGTATTACTATATGTTCAAATCCGCTTCCAAAACCACCAAGGCACCGCTTCGATGCCTCCCCAAATAGGGTTCACAGCGTTATGATCGGCCTCGAAAAGCGCGCTCCAATCGCAATCGGTTATTGTAAATTGTAAAGTTTCGCAGCTGACTAATAAACGAGTAGTATCTTAGATATATAAACGTCAAAGTTTGTGCAAATCTTGACCCTATGTTTTTTATAGATTCCTTTGCGGATGAACCCATTGAGTTGAAACCTTGATGACCCGGGCTGGACCAGGAAAGCCAGGTAGTACTACTATAATAAGCGCTGAGGCCGCCCATCTTACTATTTGTGTATATCTGTTTGTCAGGGACTTACGGGGGTCAAAAATAGGGTCAAAGGAGAAGTTGTAAGAAATTCTGGCTTCAAAGGGTATATCGTTTTCAAAATTCTTAAATGCCACCTCCTGCCGGGCCCTGACTATACTAAAAATTTCTCAAAACAACTGCTTCAAAAGAAAAAACTTAACAGCAACCTAATACACTTCCTTGAGCAAGTTCATATTTATATCCGTTTCTCTATCGTTTTTGAAAGCTAAAGAAGAATCCTTTTCCGAACATAATGTCTCCATAATGCCTAAAGTATCTTCAGTTCGCCTGCCTCAGTTTTCATGAAAGTCTTCCTAACTTTTTTCTAAATTTGATTTTCGCCCCTCATATGCCGGGAAGTACATCTGCGAAATTGTTGGCCTTCGCGTCGTGCTTCCTATCCACAAAGGCTTGAGCTAGCTGTTAAGTTACTATTTATATTCGTATAATTCGACCAACACTGGTAAGAAGTACAAAACTTATATCATACGCCATGAATGCAAACTAATGCTAAGCTTTTGTTTGGTGAAAAATCTCAGAAATTTCGTGGAAAATCATTCGTTAGAATGCCGACGCACGGATGGCATCAGCATTCCTTCATCATCTAATGCCTGAAAAACAAAAATTTTCACTGGGTAGGATGGAGAGGCATGAACAAAGCTTTTCGTTGTTGATTTAGCTACGTTTTAGAGGTGGTTGACTTCTCCTGAAGAAATTGCATGATTGCCTTTGCTTGCTGAGTATATATCTTTCTCTGGAAGTTAAAGTTTATGGTTAGAACATAAAATTACGAGAGCAGTGGCGGCTTAGCGGCGTATTTTTGAAATTTGCAGCCACAGATTGAAAATCTTGTATAGTTTGTGTAGCTCTTGCTATAGCATTCTTCTGAGACCTTGCTATGCAAGGTCACGCAATGTCACAAGAGTTGTACTGTTATTTCGTCACAACTTGCTCTAGCATGGAGCATAGTTAATTCCCATATTTATGTGGTATCCAAGAAGAGAATTCCAAAAAGATTATTAAACAGTGAAAGAGAAGGTTCAAAGGACGTTTACCCATAAGCCTACGGAATTTAACCTACGCAAGCCATGTGTATCTTACCTTAGAACGCAGCCATACCAATCGTCCCTCTGGCAGAGTCATTTGGCACACAAAGTCCACTACCTGGCTGGAGGAGTATTCCTTAACACAAACTGAAAAATATCTTCGCCTCTTTCATAAAGCATCACTTGCAGTTTTTACTTTGCTCTTTGCACAGAGTAAAAAGCAGATAGTCACAAAAGTCAATCTGACTCAATCACGTTCGGACCATAAGCCTGCTCTTGGTGCCAAAAATTTTGAGTAGCATTTTCTCTCATGATACGGGTGCATTGACTTGAAATTGTCCCAAAATTGTTTAAAGTGGACAAAAGAACGTTGTTTTCAGTATTAAGAAGCTTCTGTCCCCACTCAGAGATAAAAACAGTTACGTTGCAAAAAGTACTTCGCGCAGAAAAAAAGTTTCCATCTCTGCAAATGCAGGCAGGCAATGCATCATTTCTAAGTTTTTTGTATTTGGAATGCGATGCATCATCTCTGATCGTTCACCTTTGTTTTTGCTCAAACGCTATTTATTATATCGACATTTTTCCGTCGCTACTGCTTGCATAGTTCTCAACATCGCCACATATGCTTGTTTATAAACCCCGCTCCCTTTTGGTGTTCTCGTTTCTTTCTTTCTATGGTATAGTATCGAGTTCTCGCACTTGTGACAACTATCATGTGTGTTCCATAAGTTTGCTTCAGTAACGTCACTATTCACCACACCTCTTTCTCATCTAGCTATCTAACAATGATGCATCTACTTACAGGCTGTCCTTGTGACAGTGTTACAGCTCCTGCCGCTCTGGCCCTCACGGTCGTCTTGTTTGAGCCTTGCCGCGTCGAACGTATCCTTTGGGCATTTTCCACGCCTTGCAGCAGTCGTATGGAATGCATAAATTATATTTGAATTTGCGAATGGGCAAAGCCCAACTCGAGGTGGCCGCAAGGTCCGTGTGTTAAAGCAGCACACTGACATCTTTAGGCAGAAAGCAAAACGGGTATCGTGTATGTTGCATGAAGTAGTTCAATATGTTTTGTCAGTAAAGACTGTGCTACCTTTTTTATCTATTCATTCTTCGGGAGTGGCCATCAATCAAAATATTTTCGTCATGCGTACTGACAATTATAAACTACGTTTGAACATATATGATGCTGTTCCTCAGAAGTGTTCTGAATGCGTTATATCTTTTGGACCTCAAGTTTTTGTCGTTAAAATCAAAGAAGTATTTCTTGCTTAGAAAAAGCCTCAAGTATCACAACAAGTTGTATTAGTCGACCGTTACCACATTTGACAATTTGCACAATTGATGCCCAGTTTTTGACCAACGTTCTGCAAGTTCTGCAGGTCAATCATTTGCCAAATCCTCGCTCTGGAATCAATTGATTACTGTCCTTCTTCTTGGTATTATTGTGCTTACATATAGACAATTCTTCAAACTGATTAGCATATTCGATAGCTGGCACCATCCGCATCAAGAGAGGATCTCACAAAGAGCTCGCCACGAGGTGATTTTTCGAAAAGGGAAAAAACGAAGTCTCCCTTGACTTTCCCAAAATTTTACAAAGTCTCCTTAGACCTCAAATCTTGTATGTAAAAAACCCTAAAACACGAAACTTCGACTAAAAACGTATCCTAAACTGTGTCTATTCGACCATAGAAACAATATCTCTTTTGCTTTTGTCCCAAAAACGATATCTAGCTTGCTTATGAGCCACCAGTGCCGAGCCCTGGTCTCAAAGCACCTTTCGTTTGCATTTTTTTGATTTTGATAAAAAAAAATCAGCAATATGTTTTGTACACCCCACTACAGCGGGCAGTTCACTTTGTTCAAGTAAACATTTGAGTATTATTTTTTTCATCATTACCCTACGATATGATTTTCTTAACCTGCTTCTTCCAATCGCTGCTTCCAGCTATTCAATAATATCGTTTTCTCGTTTAGTGCTTATTGCCAGTTTCCGAACACGATTATAATAAAAGAAAATGGTATGAAAACTGCAAGCAACTGAAGTTTTTGGTGAAACGACTTCGTACAACTTTTAGAAGTCAAGTGCAAATTCGTCTTTAGGATAAGAAAGCGATTTGTACCGGGTTACGGCAATGTGATTGAGACAGCATTCTAGACTCATTGAAAAATCAAAGAAACAAATTCTTTTTCGATTTTGTTGCTAATACTCGCCATTATCACTGATTTTTGACGGCATTCAAACTTTCGTTGTAGCAATGAAGTTCAATGCAACCAATGTCGCTGGTGGCACCAAGACGCTAGCCGATGGAAATCAGATCCCTTTGCTAGGATTGGGTACCTCTGAACACACGGATCAGGTAAACAAACAGTGAATACGTACGTAGTAAATTACTTAAGAGCTGAAGTTTCAGAATTGAGAGCAATATCTGTAAAGTATTGAGAAATTCACTTATTTCAATGTAAGATTCATATTCATGCTTTCATAAACAAGGAAGGATATAGCTAATTTACGGGTCAGTATACTTTTGGCTAACAGTATATACAATGTGTGTTGCGGCTCGGTGTGCTCAGCACCCCTCGCCCTAGTGCTCGTCCGCCTGACAACACAACTCCTCAACTTCAGGATGTTCCACTTCTGCGCTAGTGTGCGCACTACCTAGCGCGTCCGTTCGACGCCAACGCCCCTACCCGTACAACAAACGATCACACGCGCGACTAGATTAAATCACATTTACTGAAACATAAGAACAAAACATAAAAACCTAAAACTACTAAAATGACTACTACTACTACTACGAGAGAAAGAAAAAGGCACGGGACGAGCCGCCTCGTCCCGTGCTGCCGATGCTCCGAGAGATCATCTCCAACATGTAGTTCCGGGTCCTCCATTGGGTCAACCGCAAGCCCCTGGCCCATACGGGACGGCGTGACCCCTCTCCACTCCCGCAATCCTTTCGTTCTGTGCGATAAACCACAATACTAAGCTGCGCGTCTCCAAACACAAGAAGATTGACAAGCGCTCAACCGCTCGAAACCGTTGATCATCTGCGGGAGCTACTGGAGGCGCTGCCAGCATGGCAATATCATCAAACGATCGATAAAGAACGGAACTCGAGGAGGCGTAGACCGCGGCCTGCGCGCCCTTATATACCCTGCGACTTGGCAACGCGCCCAGTAAGGGAGAGGTCTTGGTGCGAAATTGATAGCGCGCCAAGTAACGCGATAGCCAGCGCTCCCGGCCTCCTGTTTCGAGGAGTGGCTTGCATCGCGCGAGCCGCGACAATGTGCAAACTTAGCGGCACAAACTTTTGCAGTATGTGCCACGAGAAAACCATTGGAAAATATGTACTCAAATACTTGTCATAGAATGAAATAATCGCACTCTACATAAAAAGTTCTTAGAATCTAAAAGCTATATTAGGCTGTCCCGAAAGTTCGTTCGCACCATTTTCAAAAATTCATGACTTCTGATTTTTTCAACTGATTTGACTGCTTTTATTTTTGCATGAAAGAGTAAGTCATGCTCTTTACAAAGACATCTAAGCTACTTGGTAATGGTCATCTGTTGCACAGATAGGAGCGATAGAAGAAAATTAATCAAAATTCGAATTTTCTGTGTAGGGTCATAAAAAATCGGAAACTTGCAACAAAAATCGGAGCACTCAGTATCGTAGGTTCTTTCGCTTTTCAACAGTACAAAGTTTGCGCTGATTAAGGGTGTCTATGAAAAGTTATGATTTTCGAGCAAGCAATACAAAAAAGCGAATTTGATTTATTTTAGCATTTTTCAAAGACTTAACTTTGACGTAACTTTCCGTAGAGACGCTCAATCGGCGCAAACTTTGCACTATTAGAAAAAGCTGGTGAAAAAACCTACAATACCGAATGCTCCGTTTGTTGCAAGTTTCCGGTTTTTATGACCCTACACAGAAAATTCAAATTTGGACCAATTTTCTTCTATCGCTCCTATTCATGCAGTGTATACTCAAGAGAAAGCCGCTAAAGTACCTCTATGAAGAGAATAGATTGCTTTTTCAGATAAAAATGAAAACATGCAAATGGGCTGGAAGAATTGGGAGTTATGAATTTCTGAAAATGGTGCGAACGAACTTTTGGGACTACCTAATATTCCTATTAGGATACCCATTCGAACTTTTTTGCTCCTAGCCAAGAAACTCAAATCTACTGAAAATTTTCAGTCTTAGGTTATAGACAGTAGGGTACCCAGGTTTCCTTTCGGGGGCGGGGACTACGCGCACTTCAAAAAATTTTTTGTTATGCTTCCTGAAATTTTTGCAGGCCCATAACCATGGTTTTACAAAAAGAGGGCGTGGGGGCAGGCCACGCCTCCGAAAAAAATTTTTTTATAAGGCTATATTGAATTCTTAAAAACTTTTAGAAGTTGTATTGATTATTCACAAGTATAAACAAGTCGCTAGCACATTTTTCACTGGTTGTAGAGTATATTCTGTACTATCACATAGTATCTTTCGCAATTGCAAGCACATGTTCGTTTATAACGAAATTTTTTTGCAAAAGCGAGCAATGACCTTAATTCCAAAATCAATTATGAGACCCCACACATGCAAATTTCTTAGATAAAAAGCAAATTTCCACTCATGGGACATGTAGAAAATGTCCTTGAGACGATCCATTTTTGAAAATGATTCTCCAACTGATCGAAAAAACACTGCTGGTTCTCTGAGGCATTCAGGAGGGCTAACTCCCCACGCTATGCAGTACACTGCCTCACAACCTTGTCTTTAAAAGATCAAATTCAGATCAGATTTCTGAAATAAATGCTATATCAGCATGTTTGCAGTTGTGAAACCTGTCATGTTTGACTTTTAGAAGGAAATAAGTACCATGGTTGAAGCAGCGCTAAAAGCTGGCTACCGTCTTTTTGATACAGCTGAACTTTACAAGAATGAAAAGGAGCTTGGAGTTGCGTTTGCTGTGAGTTGTTGGCATTATGTAGGTACCATAAAATCAATCCCCTCTGCTTAGGAATATCTACCCAAATTTGGACTCAAACGTGAGGACATTTTCATCACAACAAAAGTGCAAATCATGGATGGAAAGGTCTCCGAGTGGGCAGAACACAGCTTGAAACAATCGCTGGATAAACTGAAAACTGAGTAGGTGGTCCAAGGGAGTGCTTCAGCAAAAAGCTGACTGAGGAAACTGTTTCAGCTATATAGACATGTTCTTAATTCACGCTCCCAGAGATAGATTTACCGGGAAAGATGAAGCTTATGAACTAAATAAAAAAGGAAGGAAAGAACTTTGGCAAAAGATGGAAGAATTCAAAGGTGCTTATCTATACTATTGCGATTTCCTAAATTTTTTTTACAGACCGTGGTGTCGTAAAATCCATCGGAGTGTCAAACTATGAGGTTTATCACCTGGTAGAGCTTTTCGAATATGCAAAGGTAACATTTCTTGCTGATACAGGAAATCATTTCTGTGTGGATTCGCTTTCTATCAATTTGGTAATATAAAGCATCTCAAAGTAAACTTTCCAGCAAAGACCTGTCATGAACCAGATTGAATATTCCCCGTATTTCACAAGGCCAACTCTAAAGCATTTCTGTGAGATGAATAACATTTTTGTACAGGTTTTTCTTTGCTGTATTTATTTTTCCAGTATCCATTAAAAACTAGGATTCCTTCAGTATGGGCCAATTATTTAGGCGTTTTCATCACAGTGTTGGGATAACAAAGAAATCTTCTCGGAGGATCTTGTCCAAAAACTAGCGAAGAAGTATGATGTAGCCCCACAGGTCTTTTTTTTACCACACTTTATTTTTCCTTCACTTTTTTGGATCTATCTGAGGATGCGACATAACGCTATGTATAGAAAAAGATGTGCTTCTTTTACTATTTGATTCCAGCTTAGAGTTCTACCAGCGCAATACCATAAGAAAAGTTTCTTGTTTTCCAGGCCATACTTTACGCTTTTGGTCTCAATTCTGGAGTCGGCATCATTCCTAGATCGGGCAATCCTGCCCATATCGAAGATAATATGCATAAGGTACGTCATTTTTGTATATTCAGCGAATTTCGGTGAATCCATCATTGGAATATCAGGTAATGGTTCGAATGACTGCACCACCGTAACCTTGGCAAAAGTCCCTTCAAAAGCACAAAAAATTCAAATCACGTATAGAGCATAGCATTGCTATGCGCGTCACATTTTTTGGTTTGGAAATCTTCCTCTCATCTGTGTACTTTCAGGTACTGAAAACCAAGCTCACGGACGATGAACTCAAACCACTGCATGAGCTTGATAAGAACGCTTCATTCTGCCCAGGTTGCCAGTCATGGAGATACTTGTAAGAATTTCGATCAAGACGAGAGCGGATTTGGAGAGATTTGGAAACAAGCTATCTGCATCATTTTTCTTCAGAGTTGTCATTTCATGAATCAATGTTTGGACAGTATTAAGAATCTTTTTGACAATGTAGCTTTTATATCAAGTTTCCCGCAGCAGCATTTGTAGGCCAAGACCTACCAAATATTCGTGGTTTTCGTGCTTGATTTAGGAGATAACTTATATTCACTGCCTTTCTGTTCCTCCTTTCTCTGCTCTTGATTTCGTGATTGCTACTTATTGGTGTAATATATTAGGTAAATCAGTTAGGTTGGTCCTGCTGCATTCATTAGAAACTATAGAGCTCGCCCACCTTCTTGCCTCCCTGAAAACTTTGTTACAGGGATGGCCATATTTGATTCAGCTTTGCTGGATTTTAGCCGAGCTTGCTAAGTCAGAAATATCCTACTGCATGCGCACCATTTGACATGCTCAATGGAATCTCACTAGTAGCACCAAGCCATGTTGGTAATAATTGTGTGTTCACATCAAAAAATGTTAACCTAATGATTCAATATTTTTTTACGAGATCAAAAAGAATGGGCACAACTTTGTCGGTGACTTCCCTTTGACTCAACTGGATTGGCGACTGGAAGGCGGGGCTCCGTGACCTAGTTAAGGCCAGAGAATGATCAGAAAGCACGCACGCGAGAGACGCAGGCGCATCGCGGGAGCAAACCTTTAATTAAGTCACAAAGCCCCGCCTTCCAGCCGCCAATTCAGTTGAATAAAAGGTTTGATTGTAAATTTCTTATCTTCTCTTTGCAACAAACGAAATCACTACTACGAAATTTCCCTACAGCAGGACATTTTCATTTGCCTTCTGTTACAAAAAAAAAACAAAAGTATAGGTTTTCTTCTACAAAGTGGCTCTCTCTGGTACATAGGCATCTCAGAATGAATCGAACACATTCGTTGTACTTTTGAGATGCTCCCAACATTAGTCGTATCAAGCGCGTAGAATGGCACACCCCGCAAGGTTTGTCAGAGGGACGGCAGCATAATTTGGGCATCTGTCTCCTTCTTATATTATTGGTGATTTTCCAGCTTTCCACCAATGCTCGCTTTTGCAAGAAAGCTTTGACTGCTCAGAATTTCAAAGTACCAGCGCATACTTTTGTGGGTGGTTGAGGAGGTGAATGAGTAACAGTAGTGTAAGAATAAAATGAATAAAAGTGTGTTGAGCAAGTAGATACGGTTTGCCCGGTGGCCCCATAGCGGCTAGTTAGAGAGAGCAATATCTTTGATCTTTATTGGTAAAGTTACTGATTGTCAACTTGCGTTGACAATGCGATTGTGTGAAAAAGATGATATCAACATGAAGGTGTACTAATTGGTAATCGGATGTTCACTTGTGAAGTCTCAGCACTTTCAAGAATCCAACATGTGGAAGCGATTAATATCTTCTATGCAAAGCGTTTATGTCATTCGTCGTATGTGTGTTTGTACTTAATGTATATGCGAGGACTATGATGATGAACAGTTTATGCAGGCTGTTGCACTGTTAATAACATGACTGCATATATTACAATGTAGAGAAAGTTTAGGGACGGAAATTTTGACTAAAATTTTTAATTTTGATTTGAATGTACTAAAATTGCCTCGGATAGAGGCTCTTACTCCTGATCCTAGTGTCCCCAGTCCTTTGCAAGAGGACTAAAGCAGTGTGCATCAAAAAGAAGCAGTGTTGCAGGCATTTCCTTTGCCGATCACAAAAACCGTAAAAGGGCTTAGATAACAAAAATACGTCAATCTGTGAATCAAATTCTGGGGATTGCAAACTATCTGTTTACCAGCGTACTGAAAAGTAATCACTAAGTAATCAGACAGTTAATCACATCTTTGGCTCTTAGAAGTATCTTTGGCTTTCTGAAGGTTTCTGTGTATGACGGATTATTCGTTAAGATCACCAGCTGCGATTCACTGATTTTCCTTTGTTCTTTCACGCAGTTCAAACCATAGACATGCCTGCTCTTTGGTGCCGAGCTCCCTGAGTAGTATTTTGTCCCATCTCAAGGCTGCTTGGAATCGAATATGCTCCAAAATTGTACTGAGTGGAAATGCAATAAGATTTCTGTCAACTTTTACTCTTAACCGCAAAGGTAGGTAACAGTTTTCTTCTGTAGAAAAAAATCCCCTTTTCTGCAAATGCAGGCGAACAATGCATTATATCGAAGTATTTTGTATTCTAAATGCAATGAATCACATCTGATCGTTCACTCTTGTTTTTGCTCAAACAATTTATCGGCATATCGACATTTCTCCGTCGCTGCTGCTTGCATAGTTTCAAACATCACTATACTATGCCTGTGAATGAGCTTCGCCTACTCATAGTGGACCTGTTTCTCTTTTCAGATTTTTCTGTGGTATAATACTACTTTGAGTATCAATCCAAACAATCATTATGTGGTTTTCATGACTTTAGCAGTGTAAGGCCTCGGACAGAGTTCACGCGATTTGATCGTCGCGATTTAGCCGCTACAAGGCAACTGTCACGAGTTCATTGCATGCCGATCAGCTTGCATTTCGGTTGTGATACTTCTCCAGCCCGAAAATTTTGTATGTAAAATAAAATGAAAGAAAATCGCGGCGATTAGAGATCACAACGATCAAATCGCGTGAACTCTGTCTCGAGGATTAAGACTTTATACCACATTCTTTCTCCTAACGTACTATTTGAGAATAATTATATTATTTAAATCTTTCTCACCATTGTCGCTGCCCTGCGACTATGCCCTCAAGTCGCCTTGGGCCCTGCGCCGCTCCGCAAACATAGCTGTTCAACATTTTCCAGCCCAAGCAGCAACTGATTCAAAAAACGAATGCGAACGGAGCGCAAGGCAGCAACGGGCATTGAAGCTTGAGAACGCCTTTTGTTGGCAGAAAAGTCATAGCTGCATGCTACACTTAGATTTTAAGTCAGAAAGCAGAAGAGGTAGCGCGCATGTTGTAGTAGCTGGTTCAATAAGTTTTGTCAGTAATGTCGTTTTTTTTTGTTTTATCTATGTATTCATCCAGAGTTGCTGTCAATCAACATTACTTTTCGTCATGCATGTTGTCCCGAACTTCTGATTAGACAAACGTTGATGGTTCTCTGAAGCGTGCTGGCTGCGTTAGATAGCTCAAGATTTTAAATTTTGCGCTAGAGTTGAAGACTTATTTTTTGCTCAGAAGAAATCTCAAATACCAGAGTTCCAACTTTCCCCAAGTTTTGAAGACTAATCACTTGCCGAATGTGCTTTCCGCAACTCCTTTGAGAATGTATTACTAGTTTTATTATTATCTAGCTTATTGCAATTTTTTGATCTGCAGCAATATCAATAGCGGGAGCCATCGTGCAATAAGAACATATTTCAAACCGCGCCTTTCTTTCGAATCTTTGTGGATTCAATGAGAATAATCAGCAGTACGTTTTGTACACCCCACTATTGCGCACGAATCATTCTGTTTAAATAAGCACTTAAGCAATATTTCTCCTAATAGCTGCATCTCTCGTTCGACGCTTATTGTTAGTTTCCGAACAAGATAGTAAACGAAAATGGCCGGAAGCTGTAAATACTGAAATGTTTTTTTGACAAATGACTTCGTAAAACTTTCAAAGGCAAGCTGCTTCGTTCTCAGGATAAGAAGGCGACTTGTACCGGGTTATGACCAACGTGGGTGTGGCCACCTGGAGAGTTGTACTGAAGGGTCAAAGAGAGAGGGCTTGGGGTCGTTATTGAGGCGGTACTGGTGTTAGCGACAACATGATATTCGTTAACAGTGTCATATAGGTCCACTATGCAAAATACTAGCACGTTGATGTTTTGGCCTACCAGCAACGTATAGCAGGCATAATAAAAGAGCGCTGAGTGCATGAGAGCATTATTTTATCATGTCAAATAATCCCTGTGGGCTAATAAGGGAAGGATACCAAAATTGAATGGCGGTTGAAGATGAGATGTATATCTGTGAACGCGCCTTCAAACGCTGATTTCGAATCTGCTTTTCTCTTTTGCGGAATAAGTTTCCGAAAGAAGTTGTGAGTTAAAGTTACGTTTAAATGTCCAAATTTGCCAAGCATTGAGTGGCTTAAAATCAACGAAAAGCTCTGAAACAGTAACTATGCAATTTCCACCTGCTTTTTTCCCCCTTGCAAACAATATACACGATACAAAACTGATTTTCCACTTTCCGATGTTTTCTATAGCTTTTCGCTCATTTTAGGCCAACTAAACCTTGGTAAATTTGGACATACAAACGCACATAACTTCTTTCAAATACTTGTTCCGCAAAAAAGAAAAGCAGATTCAAAATCAGCGTTTAAAGGCGCGTCCACAAATATACATCTCATCTTCAATCGCCGACTAAGGTTGGTATCCTTCCCTTGTAAGTTTCAGCGAATTCTAAGGTTTCCAAATACTAGGCCACCCAAGTGAAATAGTCATTTTCAAACGTGCTAACTTTGTTTCAAGGGTGAGTTAACTACTTCTTTTTGCACTTGATACAAAGAGCCACCAGTTTTTTGTTCAACGCTAAAGATCTCACTTTGAATAACCTTCAAATATGGATTTGAAAACAAGCCTAAATCTTGTTTGTTCCGTTTGTCGCTTTCAGTTCAGACCAAAGGAGGCCAGTTGGGCTCACATCACTTCTGTGAAAGTCGCGAGGTTTAGGTTATTGAATTTTGTGCTTGTCGCCTTACCTCGCGATTCAGTGGCGCAGACTTACGGATTAGCGTACGATCCAATATTTTCGCAGTGTTTTTCATCTCCATAGCTAAAGAGAAACGACTAATTTTTCCTTAGGAGGAACAATTTTGAATGAAATTCCTGCTATGTGGAGAAGAAGAAAAAAGACAGACATTTGAATGTTTCAAAGGTAAGTTAATCGGGTGTGGCACAACCACTAAAAAGCTGTGCGAGCCACAGCTTTTCTGGGGTTTTGCCACACCCCGTTGACTTACCTCCAAAAAAAAAATTTTAGCGAACACTGTTTATTTAGTTGAATAGCCTGAGTTTGTAGTTTTCATAGGAGTAATTTGGGCCTGACTCGTCTTCTTCATAAAAGTTGGTGAAAGCGCAGCCATTAAAAGCTAAAAATTGGACAAGCAAAATTTTGGCCTGCTTCTACTTCCATAGTTTGATGTTTATTTAGAGCAGGAGGTAGAGGTCAATAGGAAGTATGCTTCTAATGAGAGCAAAGAGGCCAATTCACTTTTGAAAGATAGTTGTCCAGTTTAAGAATGGCCACTTCAACTGGGTGACTCAATATTGGGAGCCCTCACAAGTTGCTAAAACTTGGCCCACAAGGATTGTTTGGCAGATGATTACGAATATGTCACTGATCATGCTTGGTGCAGTCTTTATGTCATGCCCACCGTAGGCAAACGCTAACACGGAGGGAGGAGGGGGAAGGAGGAGGAGGTGTTGGGACAGGCAAGGAGAGAGAGGTCGTATCCGGTGGTTGTTTGCCACACCTCTTGCTCGACCCTGATTATGACACTGTGATTGAGACAGCATTCTAGACTCGGTGAAAAACTGAAGAAACAAAGTCTTTTTCAAATCTGTTGCCAATACTCGCCATTATCCCTTTATTTTTTTAATCATCTTTCAAATTCTCTTTTTAGCAATGAAGTTCAATGCAACCAATGTCGCTGGTGGCACCAAAACGCTAGCCGATGGAAATCAGATCCCTTTGCTTGGGTTGGGCACCGCTGAACACACGGACCAGGTAAATAAGTAGTGGATACGTACGTAGTAATAACATGAGAATTGCTGAACTTTTAGACATTATTCTGAGATTTATATTCATGAATTTCGTAAACATTAAAAGATGTAGCTAATTCACGGGTCAGTATACATTTGGTCAACGTGTATCCAGATGCGCCTGAATTAGCTGCGCAAATTTAGCAGCGTGCCATTAGGAAACCATTGGAAAATATATACTAAAAGTCACTTCATAGAATGACATGATCGTACTTCATGGAAAACAGTTTTTAGAATCTAAAAAAGTCTTAACTCGGAAAAGTAAAAAACAAAAGTATTCTTCGAGCGAAGGTACGATCCAGTCGAAGCTGGAAAAGAAGGTTTGCCACAGTGTCGCAAGATGGAAGAATGTCGTTTGTTACGGTTACAGGCTGGAGGATCTCATATCAAGTTGTGACTGGCCCATCGAGGAGAACCCAATGTACGACTACGATCGATTTTGAAAAGATTAGCCTGCGGAGAGGGCGCCTCAGTTATTTTCGAGAAGAACTCAGGACAAATTACAGAGTTCGTCAGGGAATTATTTGAAAAAAAGGTCATCGAAACAAGATCCGAGTGCAACCCATCTCGAGCGACTGTTAGCCAAAGCTAATTGCAGAACAGCTTTCCAGGAGGATTCCGGAAGTACAGGCAAGCCAAGACACTGGAAGCAGCCGAAAGAGGACGAAGGCGAAGTCTTAAGAAGTGTCGAAGGGAATTCTATGAATATCACGTGTCTTGCCAACACCCGTGTCGATGGCCGTTGTTCCCTCTAGGGAAGTGCCACCACGAATTCTACTTGATGAACTGCGCGCAGCGAATTAGACCATTCACACACGGCTCCAGCACCGGGTCATCTTTCCGTCGAATTTTTGTGAGCTGGAAGACAACGTCTACAAGAGATTCTCGCGTCGCACCTGACACCTTATCTTCAGAAGAAAAGGATTTCCGACCAATGGAGAACGTCAGATACCGTCTTTCTTTTCGAGAAGAGTGAACGGTAACATTTTCGGACCTACGCCCAAATATGTCTGCTTAGTGTGCTGTATCTTTTCACAAAGACTATCCTTTCTCGCATATCTAGGAACACCGGATGGAGCCCAACCCCAAGAACAACCCGGGTTTCGCAAGGGATTCAGATGCAAGGACCAATCCAGACGGTTTCAGGGGTCATAGATTTGCCGAAAGTACTGACTGCCTCTCGTTCTAACCTTCGCTAACAAAGAAAGCTTTCGACAGCATCGAAATCAACGCCATCCTGTAGCGAGTAGATCAAAGAATGGACCTAGCTTAATGTAAGGACGTTAGCCGACTGCTACAAGGACTTTACAACGACGATGCAGCTGCTCCATCGATTTTCTCGAACCTTTATTTTTCGAACGGGATCGTTCTTTTCTCGAGCAGTATCACTGAAATTGAGACGATGCGAAGAAACCAAGCGAAGTTGGGAAGAAGATCGGGTTGCTAATAAATAGGAAGGAGACGAAGTCCTTTGCGAAGGTGCAGAATTGAAATTGAAAGGCACCCCTATCAGTCTCTTTACGTGTATCTCGGACGTTCGATGAATATGGAGAACGACCTGAGGAAAGAATTTAACAGGAGAGAGCAGCATGGGCCGTTTTCTGGCTCTGAAGGAAGCCACAGATCAATTAACGGACCCGGAGTTTCATGTGCCCATTTGTTTGATACAACCGTTTTCCCGGTGCTCTGTTAGGCAGCTGAGCACACTGTAGCAACTTTAAAAGCTCTATGGGCCACCCACAGAGCACTAGAGCGCAGTCTTTCAAGATGACCCGACATAAACAACACCTTCGCAGTACATATATGAGAAGAATGTCCCGTTTTCGTGACGTAGCCGAATACGTTGCGAAAGCCAAACACCGGTCACATAATGAAAAGAACAGAGACAAATGGACACTATGAACATCGGAGTGGACTCCTCGCTAAGCAAACGTCCTTGATGAAGACCTTCAGCGAGATGGGCAGAAGCGTTTCGCACCTGGAACTCGTGGACGCAGCCCCGACGGCAACCAATAAGATCGTGGATGTTTGAAGCGAGGGACAGCAAAAAAAGGGACCTCTGTGCTGCGACCCGCACGCCACGTGAAGTCGGGTCATCCAATTACTAAGTACTAAGAAAATCTTATATATAAAGCTGAATGTCTGTTTGTATGTATGTATGTATGTCTGTCTGTATGTATGTATGTATGTCTGTACGTATGTTCCGAATAGAAAATTCCATTTCTGAACCGATCCGGACCAAACTTGGCACACATACACTTCGGGCCCCGGCGGGTGTCATAGGCTACTTTTCGTCATCGATCGATATCGATTTTATCGATTTTTATCGATTTTTTTGCTGAGTTCACCTACGGGGCTGGGAGTTGGCACAGGGGGGTAATCGAGCATGGGGATTCCGAATACAATATTGGTTTTCAGGATTATCGATTACTTTTATCGATTTTATCAATTTTTTTGCAAAATTTGAGCTACGGGGCTGGGAGTTCGCACAGGGGGGTAATCGAGCATGGGTATTCCGAATACAATATTGGTTTTCAGGATTATCGATTATTTTATCGATTTTATCGATTTTTTTGCAAAGTTTGAGCTAGGGGGCTAGGAGTTGGCACAGGGGGGTAATCGAGCATGCTGATCATCCCCAAGGGGGGTGATCAGCATGCTCGATTACACCCCTGAGCCAAATTCCAGCCCCCTAGCTCAAATTTTCAAAAAATCGATAAAATCGATAAAAGTAATGGACGATCTTGAAAACTAATATTGTATTCGTAATCTGCATGCTCGATTACCCCCTGTGCAAACTCCCAGCCCCGCAGGTCAAACTTTACAAAAAAATCGATAAAATGGATAAAAGTAATGGACGATCCTGAAAACTAATATTGTATTCGGAATCCCCATGCTCACTTCCCCCCCCCCCCCTGTGCCAACTTCTTTCCCTGTAGGTGAACTCTGCAAAAAAATCGATAAAAATCGGTAAAATCGACATCGATCGATAACGAAAAGTGGACTGTGACACCCGCCGGGGCCCGAAGTGTATGTGTGCCAAGTTTGGTCCGGATACGGCGGAGCCGGGTAAGCCAGCTAGTTCTCAATAAAATACCCTTTCAACTTTCTTGCTTTTCAGGTGGAGAATTCAATCCTTCTTGCGAATTTTTTTAGGTTGTAGAGTATGCTCTGTACTTTCACATAGGGCCTTTCGTAGTTGCAAATATATGTTCGTTTGTATAAAAAATTTGCAGATACAGCAACGACTTAAAATAAATTATGACACCCCACACATGCAAAAATTAGTTCAAAAGCAGAATTCCTATTCATGAAACTGTAGAGAATTTCATTAAAACGATCCTGAAAATGATTTTAAAACTGATCCAAATGACATTGCTGATTCTCTGGTGCATTCAGGGGCGGTGGAGAGGGGAAGGGGGAGGGGGGCTAAAATATCGCGTTAAGCAATTGCCTCACAAGCTTGTTTTTGAAGAATCAAAATTTCTTTTGTAGATTAAAGAATTTTATGCTTGACAGTGTTGAAGGCAAAAACTTGCTCTATAATTGTTATTTTTCGCAAAAAAAAATGCAAAAAAATTTATCTCGTATGCTTCGAAAACTGTATATGCGCGCAGTGGAAAATTCAGTGGGTTCAAGATATTCTTGAAAGATCGAGCGGGCAAGTTCTGATATCACTAATGCTATAATGGTAGTGGTTGGTGAAAACAGATAGCTCGAACCGTCTATAAATCCATCTTGTATCCTTTGAAACTTATCGAAGCATGAAAACGCGTCGTTAATTTTGACGCACTCTGTAAATACCGTACTCTTCCCTCTCCTACCTCTCGTAGACATCCTTTGTGCTCGGTACTGCGTTAAAATTTTTATTCCGGGCAAAACTTATGGGCGGTCCAAAGTGGGACTACCTCACAACACAACAAAGAACTTGGTATGGACACATAAGGCACTTCATTAATTGTACAGAAAATGTTTGGTGTAGGGAGACAAGTGACAGACCTTGACAATTGCTACATCAGCATGTTTGCAGTAGTTAAACCTGCCATGTTTGATTTTCAGAAGGATGTAAGTACCATGGTTGAAGCAGCGCTAAAAGCTGGCTACCGTCTTTTTGATACAGCTCAAATTTACAAGAATGAGAGGGAGCTCGGAGTTGCGTTTGCTGTGAGTTGCTTGCATCATGTAAATACTATGTGATCTGTTATCGCTAAGAGATCAATCTTTCCCGTCAGGAAAATCTATCTAAATTTGGACTCAAACGTGAGGATATTTTCATAACGACGAAAGTCCAAATCATGGATGGAAAGGTCTCCGAATGGGCAGAACACAGTTTAAAACAATCGCTGGATAAATTGAAAACTGAGTAAGTGATCCAAGGGAGCTCTTCAGTGACCTTGAAAACTATTCCAGCTATATAGACATGTTTTTAATTCACGCACCCAGAGATAGAATTGTAGGAAAAGATGAAGCTTATGAACTAAACAAAAAGGGAAGGAAAGAACTTTGGCAGAAATTGGAAGAATTCAAAGGTACTTATTTCTACACATGTATTTTTCTGGAAAGTTTTTTTACAGACCGTGGTGTAGTAAAATCCATCGGAGTGTCAAACTATGAGGTTTATCACCTAGTAGAACTTTTCGAATATGCAAAGGTGAGCTGTGTTTTTTGCTGATCTGCAAAAGAAGTTCAATGTAATTTTCATCAATAATTATTTATATAGCAAGGCGTCGCATCCAACTCATCTCAAAGTACAATTTTTTAGCAACGACCTGTCATGAATCAAATTGAATATTCCCCTTACCTCACAAGGCCAACATTGAAACATTTCTGTGAGATGAACAAAATTTTTGTGCAGGTTCTCATTGCTGTTTTTGTGTTCCTATTACCCGTTAGCAAAATATAGTTCGACCAGTAGTGGCCAAATATTCAGGCGTTCTCGTCACAGTGTCGGGACAACAATGAAATCTACTCGGAGGGTCCTGTCCAAAAACTAGCGAAGAAGTATGATGTAGCCCCACAGGTCTTTTTTTTACCACACTTTATTTTCCCGTTACTTCTTTGGCGTCTTCTGAAGAGTAAACGCATGCGTACAAAAGATGTGCTTACTTTACTACTTGAGCCCAGCTTAGAGTTCTACCAGTGCAACACTACAAAAAAGTCCCTTGTCTTCCAGACCATACTTTACGCTTTTGGCCGCAATTCTGGAGTCGGCATCATTCCTAGATCCGGCAATCCTGCCCATATTGGAGATAATCTGCATGAGGTACGTCATCTCTGCATATTCAGTAAATTTCGGTGAATCCTTCATTCGAATACCGGGTATTGTTTCGAGTGATTCATCACCGTAACCTTGGCGGTCTCTTCAAAAACAAGAAAACACGTACGGAGCACTGCATTGCCGCACTACAATCGCTGCTATGAATGTCTTCTTCTCATCTCTGTAATTACAGGTACTGAAAATTAAGCTCGCGGACGATGAGCTCAAGTCACTCTATGAGCTTGATAAGAACGCTTCATTCTGCTCAGGTTGCCAGTCATGGAGATATTTGTGATAGTTTCGATCAAGACTGAGAGCAGATTTGGAGAGATTTTGACTCATTGACTCATAGCATTTTTCTTTAATGTTGTCACTTCTTGAATCAGTGTTTAGTATTATGTATCTTTTTGACGATATATTTTTGCATACTGGGTATAAAGTGCAATCTAGTTGTGGCTTCCGATAAAGCGGCGTTAAAGGCCAATATCTACCAAATTTTCGTGGTTTTCATGCTTGATTTAGCGCCGCATGCATCAACATTTTCGCCGCCTAGGGATCGCAGCTCAAAAGAAAGCCCCATATTCTAAAGCTCTAGATATGTGCATACGCTGTCTATCCATCCGTAAGTATTCCCACCATCCTTCACTACGAACATAAAGAGCAGGAGGGAGAAGCTTACAAGCCGCATTTTCTAGCATTTTGTACAATCCCCTGATGTTCCCCCGCGGCCGACTGTCTTTCTCCAAAGTCATTTTTCTTCTTCAAATGCAATGAAACGTTCCAAATTTGTACTTATTATAATTTAACGGTGATAAGCATGTTACCGTTGAGAACAAATGATGTACTGGAGTCACGAAATTTGCGATAAACCACAAGTCGGAAGTTGGAGTTTATCGGAAATTCGATATTCTAAAAATCCATTTGTTGTTATCAGCAACATGCTTAGCACTGTTGGTCTGGATAAGCAGCAGAACCTTGGGATCTTCGTTACCATCAAAGAAAAGTGACTGTGAAGAAAAGACCGGGCCGCGGATCATCAGAGGATCATAACAAAAAGCTAAAATTTGCGGCTTATACAGCTTTCCGCTTCTGTTCCAACTGATCGTGTTGAAGGATGCTAGAAATACTTAAGGGTAGGTACAGCGTGAAATTCAGAAGTTCGGAGCTTTAGGATATGAAGCTATCTTTTGAGCTGAGATCCCTCATCGGCGAGAATGTTAACGCATGCCGCGCGCTTAGAAAACAGTATGTTCACATCTTCCTCTCTTTTGTCTTGGACGTCATGATTACTAGAGAATAAATGCAATGAATAAATTAGTAAGGCTGGTTTTGCTGATTATTTGTTATTAATGATTATTTGTCAACATCAAAAGTCAGATCAACCATTTTTTCGAGAGATACCAACTTTATCGGTGACTACATTGTAAATGGTAATCTCTTACCTTCTCTTTGCTACAAACAGGAGATCACTATCACGAAACAGCTGGTAGGATTATTCAAGCATAAGCCTGATAGAACAGACAAAAAATTTTCCATACAACAGGACGTTTCCATTTGCCTTCTGTTACAAGGGAACAAAAGGATAGGAATTTCTGCTATAAAATTGCTCACTTTGATACATTCATCTCAGAATGAATAGAATTCGTCGTTGTACCTTGGAAATGCTCCCAATTTGGGTCGTATCGAGTGTGAGCACATTCCGCGCATGATTTGACAGAGGGAAAGCAGCATAATTTTTTTGCGCATTTGTCTCCTTCTTGGATTATTGTACTTTCCGCTTCCCAACCAGTGCTCGCTCTTTGCGGACGAGAGTTTTGACAGAACCGAACATGACATCAAAGTATCATAAAGGAGATGAATGAGTGAGAATAGTATAAGCGATAAAAATTGATGTTTTGTGGTTTGGAAACACATAGATGTGGATCAAAAGTCAAAAAAGCATTGAGACTTGCATTTGACGGAAGTTCCCCTTCTACTTCTAGTCTTATGTCCAAAATCCATTTTTCGGAAGCCTCAGATAATTGTTGAGATTCTCTACCAGTCGTTACATGAATCGAGTTTCCAAGCAAGCAGAGTGAACTCTGGCTACACGAAAAACCTAAGGCTTTTTTCTCCAAATAAATAAATGTTAAGATCTCTAAAATTTGTTCACGATCGTCTAGATTAGATTTGAAGGAAGAGCTTTGTGTATTAACAGTTCCAAACGCTCTTTCAAGATAAGATGCCATGATAAAAATCTTAAAATTAAAGTCGGCGGAGTTGTAGCATTGCTCAAGACCCGTAACGACAGCATTGCATAGATTGGAGAAGCATGGTTTGCGAAAGGTTCTTATTGAGTGTCATAGGTGCGATAAGGTGAGAATGACTCCTCTAGAAGGGGGTCACAGTGGTCGCAGCCCCTCCAGGGTGAAGGGTGTTTTACTTGATCGAGAATTATAAAATGTTGACCGGGGGGGGGGGAGGAGGAGAGTGTTGGTGTTCTCTCATCATTCTTCCTAAGCAACGTTTTATCATTTTCAATTCTCTACCATCATTTGCTGTTTTTTTTTGGAAGAATGAAGTAGGATTGGAAACATTCTGTCTGTTTTCGAAAATACCAATAAAAAATAGAGAAGAAGATGTGTAGCAAGAACATCTGTTTCGGGAAAGAGGTAAACAATTTTTGAGCATTCACAAATTTTTGAAAGAAAAAATTTACAACTTCTGTAGATGAATAGCAACGTCAGCAAAGAAATTGTTTTCAGAACCATCTTTTCTTTCGCTTCCAGGAACTATATAGCTTGCCCGGAAGTTTGTCTGGAGTCATTCAAAAAAAGTGCCTGGCGAAGCTCGTGGGAAGTGCTTTCCAAATATTTACGAACTTTTAGATAAAAGAATCCATAACTTCTGTAGATGAAGATCTTACACGCCGATTATGCCTAACTTCAAAACCGTCTTGCCCTCCACTTTCCGAGGATATATATAGTTTGCCTGGAGTCTTTGAAAAAAGGGCGTGATGAAGGGTGTGGGTAGTGATTTTTGGATAATTACGATTTCCAAGGATAAAAAAGTTATAGCTTCTGTAGATGAACAACTTGTACAAGGGAGTAGCCATTGTTGGAACCGCCTCGTCCTCCGCTTTCAGAAAATATATACTTTGCATGGGGTCCGTTAAAAAAGTCCCGGGTGAAGGGTGGGTGAGACTTTTATAATGGGAGTGCTCAAGTAGACTTTATAATGGGAGTTCTCAAGTAGACGTCTTTTCACAATGGTAAAAAAGCCTCCACTTGAGCACTCCCATTATAAAAGTCTCACTCACCCTTCACCCGGCACTTTTATAACGAACTTCAGGCGAAGTACATGTTTTCTAAAAGCGGAGGGCGAGACGGTTCCAATGGTGATTATCACGGCGTACAAGATGTTCATCTACAAGAGTTATGAATTTTTTTATGCTAAAAACTCGAAAATATCCAGAAATCATTAGGCACACCTTTCACTAGGTAATTCTATGAACGGACTTTCAAACTTATTCCCTGAAACCAGAGGGAAACGTTGTTCCACGGAACTCTCCTCGCTGACGTTGCTGTGCAAGTACAAAAGCTACTTACTATTTTCTTCCTCCTGAAAGTTCGGGAATTCCTATAAATCTTCTTCCTCTTTTCCGATACACAAACAATCCCCGTACAAATATCTCCTTTGCTTGACCTTACCTCACTGTTGATTTTTTTCCTTGGCTTTTGGTGAAGGGGGTCACCTTGGTCCCGGTTCAGGAGTGAAGAGAGGGTGAGCAAATTCTTACACCTCACCTATGTTGAGTGTTACGAGTTTTGGTGACTGATTGAATTAGGAAACAAAACTTTTAGGACAAGATCAATGACCAAAAAATGACTCTGCTTTAACATGTCGTAGGCAGACATTAGTCGGTATTCACGCTTTTGCAGTATTGCCGTGACATTTGTCCAGAAACTTTTATCTTGAAATTTTTTCCTTTCAATTTGTAAACATTTTAAGCATTATTGGTGCGTTAACAACACTATCCCAAACAATGGCCAATTTGCTAACGTATTTCCACCCGAACCAACGGCAATGACAATAATGACAATTGATATCTGGCTAAAATTTTGCATTGCAATGATAGCATGGTGCTTTTTGTCAAGTTCTTCAGAATTGCAAATTAGCGAACAAGCTGAGAGTTGTATGCAGCATGTTTCCGAGCTTGTGTGGCTTCGCGCCTGTTTTTAGTGAGTCTTTTACCTATATTTGTAAGATTGCACATCTTTTAGTGCCTTCTAGAGATTGGAAATGCAAAGCATGCTGTTTTGCAGCACAGATAGCACTGATAGATTTTTTTCAAATTATTTCAGCACATTTTAAAAGTGTAGAATTGCCTCACTTCAGAAAATCTCAATTGCCTTCTATCGAAATGGATTTGCTTTGCATGAACTTTACTGAAATGAAAAATTATATAGTACTAGCTGGCTTACCCGGCTCCGCCGTATCCGGACCAAACTTGGCACACATACACTTCGGGCCCCGGCGGGTATCACAGTCCACTTTTCGTTATCGATCGATGTCGATTTTACCGATTTTTATCGATTTTTTTGCAGAGTTCACCTACAGGGCTAGGAGTTGGCACAGGGGGGGAAGTGAGCATGGGGATTCCGAATACAATATTAGTTTTCAGAATTATCGATTACTTTTATTGATTTTATCGATTTTTTGTAAATTTTGACATGCGAGACTGGGATTTTGCACAGGGGGTAATCGAGCATGCTGATTACGAACACAATATTAGTTTTCAGGATCGTCCATTACTTTTATCGATTTTATCGATTTTTTTGTAAAGTTTGACCTGCGGGGCTGGGAGTTTGCACAGGGGGGATAATCGAGCATGCAGATTACGAATACAATATTAGTTTTCAAGATCGTCCATTACTTTTATCGATTTTATCGATTTTTTGAAAATTTGAGCTAGGGGGCTGGAATTTGGCACAGGGGTGTAATCGAGCATGCTGATCACCCCCCTTGGGGATGATCAGCATGCTCGATTACCCCCCTGTGCCAACTCCCAGCCTCCTAGCTCAAACTTTGCAAAAAAATCGATAAAATCGATAAAAGTAATCGATAATCCCGAAAACCAATATTGTATTCGGAATCCCCATGCTCGATTACCCCCCTGTGCGAACTCCCAGCCCCGTAGCTCAAACTTTGCAAAAAAATTGATAAAATCGATAAAAGTAATCGATAATCCCGAAAACCAATATTGTATTCGGAATCCCCATGCTCGATTACCCCCCTGTGCCAACTCCCAGCCCCGTAGGTGAACTCAGCAAAAAAATCGATAAAAATCGATAAAATCGATATCGATCGATGACGAAAAGTAGCCTATGACACCCGCCGGGGCCCGTAGCGTATGTGTGCCAAGTTTGGTCCGGATCGGTTCAGAAATGGAATTTTCTATTCGGAACATACGTACACACAGACATACAGACAGACAGACAGACAGACAAACAGACAAACAGACATTCAGCTTTATATATAAGATTCAGTGATGGCTTGCCTCTTTCCCCTTTTTGTAAACGCAGGTTGTAGAGAAGAATCCAAGAAGAAGATTACTCGTTTAATGATTCTAAAAGCTCAAAACAGGAAGAACTGAAACAGCTGTAAACACAACTTTTCTTTTTAGCTAAACAAAAATTTTGTCGATCGAGAGTCAACATGAAGAATTATGGGTTCTGGAAAACATAAAAACCCGCAGAATTGATTTTGCGATTCCTTAACTTTGTATGAAGACATTCGATCGACACAAGCATTGTTATTGTCAAGAGGACTCATAAAAGTAATGCTTATGACTGTTCCGGTGTTTGCTATAACGATCCATTTCGGCAAGCTTGCTTGAGACGACCAAGACTTGACTATTTTCCATCTTGCATTTTTTTTATCTCTCCAAACTATGCTCTAAAAAACTTAGAAGTTAGCTTCAGAAAACATTCCATTTCAACGAAATTCATGACAAGCAAATCCATTTAGTCAAAAGAAGTGTTCTGGTTCTTCAGAAATAGTGCTAATGAATTTTTTGAACCAATCTAACATTCTGTAAAACCCTGGCCATACAGACAAGAAAATCCTCGCGATACGATTGGTGCACAGGACAACAGTCATGCGCTCTTTGCATGCCGGCAAATAATGCATGCCAGTCGTGCTAGCTATTTGGCGCGACGGACCGTTGACCGTGTTTTCTTAAGCCATACCTAATCCAGCAACATCGCCGCGACTTGGCCGAAATTTTGCTATATCGCGTCGCCGGTTCAAAGTCAGCGACGGGGCGAAATCGCTGTGATTCCTTATTCGAAAGTTTTTGGACAGTTTTTTTCTCTTTCGACTTTCTTTCTTGGAGTGCTAAAATGTGAAGCAGCATTCTAAATCGCAATTCTTTCGTGTTGTGATGCGCGTCCCTTCTATTTCGTGCCGTCAGTCGGAATGAATATTTAACTGTTCGAAACTCGTGAGTGAATAATATGCATAGTATCTAGATGTCTGAAAATCGTGAGAAATTAGCAACGTAAAGTGCAGCTACAGTTTGATAAAATTGGCTTTGGATTCTGCATTTAATGAGAAGAGTTGAAAGATAGACGCAAATGCGCAAGAAACTGGTATGAATTGTTGACGCTGAACGTACCGGTTACAAGGGGCTACAGACGTAAAGAAATCACGCTGAATACTGCTTTTAGATGCCAAAAGAAAACGTAGAACAAATGCTGATGGGTGTACTTTCACCTTATCGCTGAGCAGGTAGTAGGCATGTCTAGAACCCGCTACCACTAGTTTAATGGTCGCGATTTCGTCGCCTGATCATGAAATTCCTGGCGACAGAATCGCAACGATGAAATTGCTGCGCGTATGGCCAGGGCTTAAGAAAGCAGAAGCACGACTTATGCAAAAGCGCCAAAGTCCGACACGTGGGTGGCAAATGAACGTCTTTAGAATGAATTGGCCTTGTTAATGTTGATTTTTACAATTCCCACTTCATCGCGGCAGCTGCATTGCTGGTATTCAGTCAGAGTGCGCTTTTTCCCAAAGAGAATAGCCGTCGTTGCTGTTTCGGATCTTGAGAGAGAATAGAGGAGGAGTTTCAGAGGAAAATGTTATTCTTATGAAAGAAAATCTTTAACTGGTTGTTTTGAAACCCTCAGGAAATTTGGTAAAAAGTTCGGCAAGCTTTTCATTTGCGTGAGCTCATAAGATTTCATATGTTGCTCTTATTCTCCAGTACCCATATGTGCACCAAGATTGAAGCCTTATCGCAACCCGTGCGTTATAAACGAGTCGTTTTTCCACTTTTCCATGTTGAGAAATTTACAGAAGAAAGGTTGCCACTACATTTAGTCACTTAATTTCTCCACAGCCCTCTGCAATCTCCTTCTAGCCCATGACCTGTACAGCATATTATGTCATATCGTTGTTTGTGCGTGTAGAAGAGGCGGTTAATTAATCTGATCGAAAGAAATTCGGAATTTCGAGGGTGACAAATGTTTGTTGTAAAGATTTCATTTCAACAACCTTGCCTGAGATAATCCAGACTGACAAGTTTTCTCCACCATGCGTTATTTTAGATTGACTCAAGATCTTATTTTTGCACGTCTTTCGCGTGGCAGCTTGTTGAGGGAATGCATATGTACATATAAACGTAAATTCAAGATATCCGCTTTGCTTTTCCTCCTAAAACAACTTCCAGCTTGACATTTACCACCTCAATCTTGAGTCCTAAAACGCTCTTAGCTCTTCCAAGACTTCCACTTTTCCACCTTAAGAATTAATTATCGTTTAAAGTACAAGTTTGTGCCTCTAACAAAGCACTTTTCATCATTCCAACTCAATGATAGGCACACTTATTAGAAACAGCATTTCACGACTGTCTCGACAGACCGGCGTTCTAAATTTCTGAAATAATCGGACCCGATGAACGTGCTAAGTTCAATGTTCTACCTGACTCTTGCGAGTGCATAGAAAAAAATTGCTTTCTATCCCAATCTCGGTCGCACACGTTGCAGAAAAAACGAAGTTAGAGATTTCCGTTTTTTGTGCGCAATTATCGAAGCCAATCAGCCGCCTTTGGGAGAATCCCACCTTTGAACATTCCGCAAATGAGGTCCTCATCGTAAGAAGGGAAGTGAACGCTTATTCCAAATCTGCATTGGTATCTGCTATGTCGCTCTGGCAAAGTTATGAATGTTTTGAGTTGAAATTTAGGAACGCATTCAACACTCAAAGCCGGATGGGTACCTGAGCTTTCCATGCGAATACTCTGTCCAGTATTTATCACACACACACCAATGCTCTCGTCGTAGAGCCATCCCTTATAGTCGAACTTGCTCGCTCATTGTAGGCTAGGTGGATGTGGTGTTTGTGCTTGCGACGTACCCGCCGCACCTTGATATATTCGCGCGTTGTTATGGAATTATTCCTAGTGAAACCCCGCATGTACGCCGATAGGCAGAGGGGGAACTCTTGTGTTTTTATAATAAATCGTCAACGGCTCAACGCGTTCCACATCAACTGCCGATCAGGATCAAGGACAAGAAGAACTCCACCATCAACCGAGGACGAGAAGAAGCTCCATCGCCGACCAAGGAGAAGAAGAAGCCTTCAGTCGACTTTAAGGACAACTTCTCCAGATAAGTTTTATTTAAGGAATCGATCGACGAGAAGGAAGAAATCTCGTTGTAGCCGCGGAGCCATGCCGAAGGTCGCAGAAGAACGACATGCGGATCTGGAGAAGGTCCTCAACGTCATGATGGAGCAGCTGCGGCTTCATCTGAATGAAGTTCGGATCCAGATGCAAGCCTAACAGGAACAAATGAGGATGTGATCACTACTCTGGCCAACAGCCAGAGCGTAGTCGTGCACGATGCCAGCAGATCAATACGATCAGCTGAGCAAGGATGTGCACAGGTTCTCCGACGAGGACACAGGTAATACCTTTGCGTACTGGTACAGAAGGTATGGACCGGTCATAAGCGAGTCCCTTATGAAGCTGGACGAAGAAGCATACCGGACGTATGCAGATGAAGTCCTGCCTGCAAAACCACACGTTTTAAGTTTCAGCACAACTGTCGGAAATCTCCAAAATCTGTTCGCCTCCAAAAGACGCTGATAAGAAGAAGGTCGAGTACCTCCGCGTCACCTGTCCACCGCTTACGCCGACCTATGTACCGTTCCGAGAATACGCCAACAATCAAGC